TGTGTGACTACTTTTGGTGGGAATTGTGTAATTTAGCCTCTTTTTGGCTGAACTATCACTTTAAACTTGCCAGAACAATCCAAAACAATGACGTAACACTGTCTGGCTCTCTTTGCTATGAAACACAAGCCCAGCGTCCGGTTTATTGGTGTTTGTCTGGAAAGTGTAGAAGAGTTTGAGGGTTTTCAGCGACTGTGAAGCCATATCACAATCATATTTCCAAATGCTTAATGAAGTTAGCTCTCTATTGATGCATTTACTGGATTATTCTCCACCGCTTCCCAGCATCCTGGTGTAGCAGGACGAACACATACAGAGTCGAGGCTAGAGCAACGAAGCACGAGCACAAAGTCAAAATGCTTATTATTTCAATACTTTTTCGGTTGAAGTACAAAATAGTAAGCTGCTTCATTATGATCTGCATTTTTATTGCATTCAAATCACAAATAAAGTGACAGTTTGATGATGAATCTAATTTACACTGTTTTCTTCCTCCTCTTACCCCAAATGTATTCAGTCAGCATGTAGTTTCAGCACTGGAGTTAGCCTGGTGCTATCCTTACTTTGGTATGGCCAAAATTCAGGCATCACCATAGATATACATGCCTAGATGCCGTGTTGCCTGTTGTTCTCTCTCTGAGGCGATACGTCTGCGCGTCCGCCATCTTGGAGAGGTCAAGATCTGCTTGTGAACAGATTCACTTGTGTTGAGAGACGAAGAGTCTCAGGATTAAATCAGCCACAACTTCATTATTACTCAACCGATTTTCACCAAATCTGTTTAGTTATAATCCTCAGACACAGATTAATCCAGGCTGCTCGGATCTGCTCTCGGCAGCTTTTATTACTTTAATAACTGATCGTGATAATTAGCCGTCCGGACCAGCAGGAAAGTGTTCAGTCTGCACCTGACGTTAAAAACCAAGTTTAGCGCGAGAAACACAATCAGACACATCAGCAGATCCATCAATGTGTGAATCACTTCTAATATTAATACACACAAAAATAAAATAAACCCCCAAAACACAGTAAGAAGGACAAAGCTGAAGTTGGCTTCCCATTCGCCAACTTTATGTGCAAGTTTTCCCGTTCCACCTCAAATGGTGCAGCAGTTTCTGGTGCCTGAAGCTGCACCATTTAAGGTGGAACGGGAAAATTTGAAAAAGATGCTGGCAAATAAGAAGCTGACTTCAGCTTCGTGTAAGAAGGTGCTAACGTTAATCTATTATGAATATGTATCTATTAAGGAATGCTTACTTAGCTGCAAAGCTTTAACCATCACTGTAAATAAATAACTACTACATAAAGTTTAGACCATCTGAATAGACTATTAAATAAAATAAGCTTAATATAAAACCAGAGGAAAAACAATCACATCAACAGTGTCAGAAACCACATAATCAAGTCTATTAGAGATACTGAACAACTCCACACAGTTTGAGGCGAGGCTATATGATTTAGGCAGGCAGTTAGCACCATGCTGATTGGTGGAGTATAACCATTACCTCCCTGGTAGAAAAGCCAGCATTGACCAGTATATGTTGTGTTTGGGTGTTGGTATGCTGGTCAACCAGCATGACCATGCTGGGGTGACCTGCTAAACCAGCACTAGACCAGCACAGACCAGTTTAGACCAGCTGAACGTCTTGCTGGTCTGTGCTGTTTTTTGAGCAGGGTTATTAACTGCATTAGCGATGGACTGGCGACCTGTCCAGGGTGTATCCTGCCTTCCGCCCAATGACAGCTGGGATAGGCTCCAGCACCCCACCGCGACCCAGAAGGATAAGCCGTTTAGATGATGTATGTATGTATGTATGTATGTATGTATTAGCTGCATTAGCCTCGTAGCTCCAGAGCTAAAACTAAGGAAGCAAGCATGTCTTGGCTGATCGGCTACATTTGAAGCAAGAGTAAAATCACGAAGAGGGACTGCAGAGTGGATGTTTGGTTAGAACTGTCACTTTAATGTTTAGTGCAGCAGCATTTATGTACTTGGTGCCTTCCTGAGACTCAGCTGTTGTTTTTGGGTTGTATTTTCAGTCCTGAATCCTGAAATACAGCATGTTTCTCAACACTAAGATCATATAAAGTGCTCTCGCAATGCTGGGAAGAACTGAGGTTGGAGAATTACGCCTGATCTTCTAGTAGAAACAAAGTTCAAGTGCTTGTTTGTAGCAGAGATGTTTATGTTGCTTGTATAAAAATATGATTATTCCAACTCAATTATTTTTTTAATATGTGTCCCCTTTTCCACTACCTGATTATGTGGTTTCTGATACTGTTATTCACAAAAATAGACAAAAATACAGACTAAATTCTCACTTATTAGCTATGTTAGCCTCATAGCTGGTGCTAAAACTAAAGAAGCAAATTTCAGACACCAAACCTGCCTCTGCTGATTGACTACATTTGGTGGGAAGAGGGGGAATTGTGTAATTTAGCCTGTTTTTGGCTGAACTATCAGTCAAAACAATGATGTAACACTGTCTGGCTCTCTTTGCTATGAAACACAAACCCAGCATCTGGTTTATTGGTGTTTGTCTGAAAAGGAAGATCATATAGAGTGCTCTCACATTGCTGGGAAGAACTCAGAAGAATCTCAGTGTCATTCATAGTGGAAGCATTGGACGAAATATCAACGCAACTGCTGTTTTTCAGTTTACTTCACTTGTGTTGACGTTCACTGTTAGAAATAAAGGTTCTGTTCAGGTACATGTTTCGTTCATCAAGGTACAAACAGTGTAAATGTTCCCTCAAAGCTCCAACAGTGGTTTTAAGGTCTGATTGTGAACCTTAAATAAGTTTCTCCAGGTGAAAAGTTCGTATTTGTACCTTTTCATAACCGAATGTTTTAAACAGAACAGTAAAATAAAAGCCTGGAGACGAGACGGGGTGTGTGGAGTCAGTACAGCTTAGAACATATCATTTCAGTGGATTATGGTTCAGTTATGTTCCCTGACTAAAGGTACTGAGATGGAGCCTTGAGGGTTCCACCCCAGTGACAGGAGGGGCACTGAGACAGGGACAGTTTAGTACCTTTATTTCTGAAAGTGTATTATATTGTTGCTGTCCAAACAAAAACAAAACAACAAAAATGTATCTGTATTTTTTTCATATTTTATTTTTCTATATCATTTAAACACAGCACTGCCCTTTACATTGTGTGAAAAATGTATGATGAAAGGATCAACATAAACCAAGTTTAGTTGAAATAAAATGATTTTACATTCTCTTGCATTAAAAGTTAACAATGTTTATCCTTTTTTTCTGTAAAGTTACCATTTTGGCAATATTATAATGTTTCAGCTTGGACTGCATTTTGAATGAGGAATGAGGAAGATACAGGGCAGCCAATCAGAACAGAGCTCATTTACATATATCAGTCTTAAGGGAAGAGTAAGGCAATCAGCTGGTTTAACTTTAAGGAACAAAGTGAGGTTGTAAAATGGGCACGTAAAAATGAATAATGACTGTTTTTGATAAATAAAACAACACAAATGCTGGTCTGAGTGGATCAGACACAGCAGTGCTGCTGGAGTTTTTAAACACCTCAGTGTCGCTGCTGGACTGAGAATAGTCCACCAACCAAAAATATCCAGCCAACAGCGTCCTGTGGGCAGCGTCCTGTGACCACTGATGAAGGACTAGAGGATGACCAACACAAACTGTGCAGCAGCAGATAGTCAGAGCTATCGTCTCTGACTTTACATCTACAAGGTGGACCGACAAGGTAGGAGTGTCTAATAGAGTGGACAGTGAGTGGACACAGTGTTTCAAAACTCCACTCAGACCAGCGCAACACACACTAACACACCACCACCACGTCAGTGTTACTGCAGTGCTGAGAAAGACCCACCACCCAAATAGTACCTGCTCTGTGAGGGTCCATGGGGGTCCTGACCACTGAAGAACAGGGTAAAAGGGGGCTAACAAAGTATCAGAGAAACAGATGGACTACAGTCTGTAACTGTAGAACTACAAAGTGCACCTATATAGTAAGTGGAGCTGATAAAATGGACAATGAGTGTAGAAACAAGGAGGTGGTCAGAATGTTATGGCTGATCAGTGTATAACCCGTTTTGCAAAGAATAATAATAATAAAAAATCGATAACAATTAATATTATGATATTATGATTATGAAAATAATGATATTTATTTGCCAATGTCATTATTGACACCAACAAACAAACACAACGACATACTTGTGGAGGTCTCTGTGGCTCAGGGGGTCCTAAACAACTAATTATACTGCATTTTATTCTTGTGCAACCGAGTGAATCATTTGATTCATGTAAATTCAAAGCACAGTTTTTTTCAGTGTAGAGGATGTCTAAACGGCTCTGTGGGTTGAAACGTATCCTTGAATCCTGAATATTTACACATGAGGCAGTCGTTAATGAGATAAACCTGAATTTTAATCGCATTAAAACCAGCGAATCATTTCAGTGAACCGAGTGAGGAGCCACGCGAACCGAATCAGTGAAATGGATCAACTCAAGCATCGTTTGGAAGCAACCTCGCACACATGCGCACTCTAGAGGATCTGTGCTCTCGTAGTAGTTTGTATGTTGGTGTAAAGACCCTGTAGAGTCACCCAGCTTTAGTGTAGGTCATGCCGATTGACCCCAAGTCACCAAACGTCCGGTCTATCACGTTTTGCGCAAAGACCAAAAATACAAACAACTCTCCCACCCTTCTCGCGCTCTTCTCGGGGGGAAAAAGACTAATGAATCACTCGGTGCCTCCATCTGATCTCTGCCCGAGCAGCACAGCCCGCTCTTTAAGCTCTGCGCAGCTTTGACACCCCGTGCGTAAAGTGTGCGCCAGCGTTTGCGCACGGACACGCAAACAGAGCGCTTCATTTCATGCGCCTCGCTCTCACTCTCCTCTTGGACTTTTCCCCTTTAAAACGTTTTCCCTTTTTTTCACACCCTCCCCTCCTGCTTGGCGCCTTCGTGTTGTGCTGGAGCGTGCGCATGCGCACCACCAGTGGAGTCACGGCGCCGGCCAGAAGAAGTTGGAGCTCTTCTGCCTTGAGAGAGAGAGAGAGAGAGAGAGAGAAAAAGCCTCCAAAAAATTCCACATCTGCACGTGTATATATGAGACGATGAGGATGTTTAGGATGAGGAAGCCTGGCCTGGCTCGGGTCTGGACTCTCCCCGTGCTGGTGGCGGCCGTGTGCGCGCAAAGGTGAGTGCGGATCGGCTCCGTGCGCTCTTTTTGTGTTTTTGCGCTTTTACGCATCGTGCAACTTCCCATCTCCCCTCGGTTCTCGGCTCTAACGCTGTGACGGTGTTAACGTGTCTCTTCTTCTTTTCCCCCTTTCTTCCTTTCCTCCTCTGTCTTCCTCCCAGTGTGAACGACCCGAGCAATATGTCACTGGTTAAAGAAACTGTGGACAGACTGCTGAAGGGGTACGACATTCGCCTCAGGCCAGATTTTGGAGGTAAACGAGAACCAAATGTTTGTTTGTTTATTTATTGTTTGTTTATTTAAATCCATGGCGATGTTGTGAGGCATGCTAGTCGAAGCGTACGACAAAACAGCAGCCCATGTGCGCGCGGCTGAGCTGAGCCTGGTGTGTTCAGGTGCTCGGTAAACGGTAAACGGGCCACTTTGCTTAAAATAACTGGTTGGTGACCTGTTTAATGCAGCACGCGGCTAACGGGGAGGGCTAGAACAACTTAGAGCCTGGATTGATCGTGCAGATCCTGGCGCGTGCTCTGTGCGTTTGGGATGCGTTCAGGCAGCGATACGTGTGTGTGTGGATGTGTGTGTATGTGTGTGTGGGGGGGTGTTCTGCGTTTGGGTGGGCGCGTGCAGCCTACTCCATACTGATAAACGCACGTACAGAGCTGGCAGTAATGCCTGGATGGTTGTGCTTTAGGGGTTAATGAAGGAGGTGCATTACCTTACCGGTGCAGATACGTGTAGTTTTGGTGGAGAGGCACGTGCTACGGGGGTTAACACCGGGGATGCATGTGTTAATAGGGGAGCTATGTGTGCTTTTGTCATTGTTACTGTGTTTTTTGGAGTAAATTGAGGAAATGCATGCATTTCTGTGCAAAATGCATGTATTTTTGGGGTTAATAGTGGGTTATTTTTAGAAATATCTGTTTTTTCCCCTCTATTAGGAGACATGTATGTGTTTTTGTGAGTTAGTGTGGGCATGGCATGTCTTATTGGGGAGGATACAAGAATTTTTGGCTTATTTGTGCAGGTAAATGCACTTTTTGGGGTTATTAGTGTAGGCATATTCATTATTAGTGGGTATATTTCTAGTTTCTGTAGTTAATGTGGGAACTGCGTGTGTTATTGGGGATGATACATAAGCCTCTCTGTGTTACAGTCATTTTTCAGGCTTATTTATTGGATATATGTATATTATTGGTGGTAACTATAGGAGACGCATGTGTTTGTATGGCAGTAAGGGTGCAGTTCGCTCTCCAGCTCCATCCGAGCTCTTAATAATGTGTCTGATGTTGAGTTAAATAAGAGTAGAGGAGGGACTGCCCATCCCACAGCGTCCACTTGCTTCTCACGTGCTCACACATGTTTAGAAATGTGCTAGAATGACATTATTTTAATGCCTTTGGTTGCTTTTGTAGGTCCTCCGGTGGGAGTGGGGATGAATATAGATATAGCCAGCATAGACATGGTATCAGAAGTCAATATGGTAAGTAATCAATTATCATTTATCTGCGTCCAGTGTGTCCACATGACCTGCTGTAGCCCAGTGCACAATCACTTCCAATGATCCACTGTGATTATCCCATTTATCCACTTCCCCTGCGCCCATTACTGTACTACGGAGGGAGGCCGTGTCCCAAATTCATCACTAGTGGCCTTTACCAAGTGAGCAACATCTGTTCGCCCACATTATGTAGGCTCATTTTGTGTATGAGTCTATATTCAAGGCAGAAACGTTCCTGCTTTGCAGGCATGTCGGTTCAGTGGAAGGCGCTAAGTCTCCATAGAAACGTGAAATGTCTCCAGCGAGTAAATCTCACATGCACGTTAGTTCTAAATTCTGAATTGCTGGAAGCTAGAACCCGTCAGCACGCTGTTTCTGGCTGGGGTTTGTGCTGTTGCTGCTCTGTCAGACAGTGCTGGAGAAAAACAAAGTGTATTTTTTTTTCCTGCATGCAAGAGCATCCCCTAGTGATGATTCCTGAGAATAACCTGTGAGGTTTGGAGCTGCGTGTGATGATTTCTGGGAATAAACACATGGGCTTTGGAGCTGCGCTTGATGATTTCTGAGAATAACCCACCAGCTTTCAAACTGATGGTGTTTTGGTTTTGAAAGGTGGCTTTTCTGAAACAGAAGACATCATTTGGCTTTGCTTTCAGCTCAAAATTTCAAGCTGTTATTCTCGGTTCCAGGTTTTGTGTGGTTATGAAGTCAAGTGGCCTCACTTTTCTAAATGTTTCTTCTCTTGAATATGAAAATACATCTTTTATTGAATTGCAGTTTGTGTTTCTGTAGCACTAGCAGCATTAAAAATTCTCACAGTGTCACACTATTAAACTTGAGATATATTAATGTATAAATGCATTAAAAACCAGTGAGTTTGGCTTTCAGTTGTACAGCTTTGCATGGTCTTCAGTATTATGTTGCACAATATTGATAAAATACCAGTGTTGCAAAAACGTTGCTACATATTGTTTACATATTACGCAGTAGTGAATCAATACAACAATATTACATATTGACTTGCAATATTTTAACCTAAAATGATTCTTCTCTATTACATGAATCAAATCAAAGCACCCATCTGGATCTATGGTTGGTCAGAATGCTTAGTTGCATATAGCCTTCTGCTGTATTAGTATTAGGCCAATTTCAGTATGACAGTTGGAGAGTATCCACACCAGTTTATCTAAAATTTCAGCATGTAAACAGAGTCATTCAGAGTGGTTTGGTGTGAAACGCTCTGTTCTAGATAAACTTACAGAGTCAGAACTGTTCACAGTGGTGGTGATAGGAACCAGACGTCCACCTCTAAAAGCTCCCTCACAGAAAGTTCCTACATGAAATGGTTATGAATTCACTGCCTGATGACTGAGACACTGTTTTATGATAGTTTAGAGAACTTAAACTCCATTCATGGTGGAGGGATACATGCAGGGCGCTGTGAGGCAAAATAGTCCCCAAAGAAAACTTATTATTTCAGATTTTCCACTATTTTCCATCATCAACATTCCATATAAACTCAGAAGACTCGTGTAGGTTCACTGGTGGTTCTGGATAGTAAATAAAATGTCTATATTTGTGTTGTAGTCATGGCGACCCCTGGTTCCTGTCACCACCACTGTAAAGACAACTGAACCATTTCACACCAAACCACTCTTTTGTCAGTCTATCATTCAGTAATGTCAGAACATCAGTTTAACAACAGTTGCTACATATTAAGCAGTGCTGCTAGCCAGGAGAAAGAAGTTGGTTAGCAGTAGCTCTGTGATCACAGCTCTGCTCAGTACAGAATGGGCTTGATTCTGGCTCACTAAACTATGTATATATAATGAGTCATTTTTGAGGTAGATAAGTTGAATGACTGATGTTGTGATGACAAAAAAAAATTAAATCCAGTCTGTTCTGAGCTGCTTGTAGCTGTAGCGTAGTAGCTAATGCTAAGCTCCCCAAAGTGCCACTCAGATTACACATTTTAAAACATTAAAACTCGTATCTGAGCGCCTGTTCGAGTGACTCAGCCTGTTCTGTGGTGTCCGTAGCTGGTAGTTGTTGTTGAGCCGTTTGCTGGTAGCTGGTTCAGATTTAAGCTGGTCTTTGTTGATCAAGGTGGTTGACAAGTGGGACAACCAGCTGGACTGGACAATAATATACCCTTTGCTGGTCAATCAGCTGGTTAAGCCGGTAGATCAGCTTAACTGGTTGGCCATTAAATGGTATGTTTTCACTTGAGTTTGATGGTTTAGCTGGTCTGCCACTGAGCTAGTCAATTGCTTGGTCACGCTGGTCATGCGGGTCAGCCAGCTTGGTCATGCTAGTCAGTCAGCTTGGTCATGCTAGTCAGCCAGCTTGGTCATACTGGTCATTCCAGTTGGCCAGCTAAACCAACAAATCAAATATATCCTATGGTGCTCAGCCAGCTTAGTTGATCTACCAGCTTAACCAGTCTGACCTGGCCAAGCAGTTTTATTAGCTGCGTCCTGCTGAGGCCATTTGGCTCTACAGTACAAAAGAGGCCTTTAAGGTCGACAGTTTCTGTGAAGCTGCTTAATTTTTAGATCAGGTTAGACGTGTTTCTGTCTCTGACTGTGACTGTTTCCAAATCTAAGTGGGTGGAATGTGTTTATTTGGCCGTTTACTGGAAACGGCTAAACATTTGACTAAAAATTATATGTGTGCTGAAATTCGGTTTAGGAAAAAGCTTACAAGCTTGTCCGCAAAGTTTTAAAGTATGTTAGTTTAACTGTTTTTGTTTTACTGGAAGCTTTTTTTGGGAGTTTTATCCTGGTGGAAGGAGCGAATTTGCCAATAATAATTTACTTCAGTAATTTTTTAAGATTTCATTAAAAGCATGAACAGCAAAGACAAAAAGGCTCAAATTGTATGTGTTCGGCCCAGTGTGTCCTGAATTTCATTTTGGTTGAGTGGAATTTTATTCTGGCCAAGAATTTTTACTACTAATGCTACTAATTACCAGTGTGTTATTGGCTATATTTTTATATTTGATACTGATAAAACCACATATTGTGAATATTGCCGACATTATCAGCCAGCTGATATATTGGTGAGCCCGAAAAGACAATTAAACAGTGGGATGAAACAGAAACAATGAAATATTTCAGAAATGGCAGCCAACGTGCAAAGAATAACTGAAAATAATGAAATTGATTGTCTTGAATGTCAAATTTGAGTATGTTGACTCTGTGCAGACTGGTTTTATTTATTGGCAGCTTTTCTTTTCAGCCCAGTGAGTCCTAGATTTTGGTTTTGGTTGCAGCCAAGAATTTTCATTCCGGTGCATCACTTTGCGATAGAACTTAGTACCGTTAGGGCAGCCAACCCTGTATAAAACTCCATGTGGTCAGAAGTGCATAAATGGGAGTGTCCATCAGGTTCTGTTTCTGACTGTGGGAGAATTATCATCATGCAAATTGCCAGCTTATCATTGCTGCTTTATTGGGAAGGTAAACTTTAACCACTGATTATTTTTAGTTGAGTAAATCGTGAACGTCGTCGTTCACGGCCTTGATCTTTAGTTCATATATGGATCTTCTGATGAGCAGAAATGACAGTAAACTTTGTTGTGAGATGCTGATGAGTCACAGAGCTGGGCTGTGTGTGTGTGTGTGTGTATTTAAACGATCTCATTGAAAGGCCACGAGAGTGTAAATACACACATCACTGCTCCGAAGGCTCTGTGAGCTCAGATTTTCTCTGGCTCTGTCTCTTGTATGCAGTCATGTGGATTAAACATTTCTTTTGCGCTGGGTAACGAGCTGAAACGAGCCGAGCGTCCAGCTCAACATCAACTGAAGCCTGATGTCATGTGGCCTCCAGTGGCTAACCGGATATTCGGCCGTGGCGTTGGAAGCAAAGGATCGCAGCAGTCTGCATAATGGGGAGAAAAAAGGAGCTGGCCGAGCTCGAGAGTCTGAATGCTCAGGCTTAATCGCCTAATAAAGGCCCATTTTACAGGAAAACAGGCAAATACACAAATAAGATTAACCCCTCAGACTGTAAGGGTCTTCACTTCGTCTCTCAGAACTGCAGAACTAATTTCAGAGTTTCAGTACTTTCACAGTAGATACTGAATGATTCACAATAGATACTGAATGATTAACAGTAGATACTGAATAATTCACAGTAGATACTGAATAATTCATAGTATTAATTGAATAATTTATAGTAGATACCGAATAATTCATCGTAGATACTGAATAATTCACAATAGATACTGAATGATTAACAGTAGATACTGAATAATTCACAGTAGATACTGAATAATTCATAGTATTAATTGAATAATTTATAGTAGATACCGAATAATTCATCGTAGATACTGAATAATTCATAGTATTAACTGAATAATTCATAGTAGATACTGAATAATCCATAGTAGGCATTGAATACTATAGTAGTTACTGAATAATTCTTAGTAGTTCTGAAATAATTAATAGTAGATACTGAATGTTTCATAGTAGACCATTAATTATTCTTTGTAGATTCTGAATAATTTACAGTGGTTACTGAATCATTCATAGTAGCTACTGCGTAATTCTCAGTACGTTCTTAAAAATAAAGGCGCCTTTAGGTCTTTGCATGATGCCTAAAAGAACCACTTCTACATCCCCAAAGAACTGTCCACCCTCCATGGATGGATCTTGGGAGAACCGTATTTGTAAATGAGATGTATGAGTGTGAAGAACATTAGTACAAACTCTTTTATGTAGATGATCACGTTATGAAGGTTGTTTGAACCTTTAGAAGTTCTTCACATTCACAGAGTCCCTTTTTGCAGGGAACCAACATTCTTTCTCCTGTGGCTTCGCTTGAATAATCCTTTGTGACTCCTTTATTTTAAGAGTGTAGATACTGAGTCATTCATAGTAGTTACTGAATAATTCATAGTAGATACTGAATAATTCATAGTAGATACTGAATAAATCATAACAGATACTGAATAATTCATAGCAGGTACTGAGTAA